GTTGTGGCTGCCACGGGTCTCCATCAGACAAGAATAGGTCATCAAGATGAAGACAGAGAACCTCAATACATAAGGGCAGGCACCTACCCAGCTTCCGCCCACAAGTGTCAGCAGCACCCCCACCCCACTGAGATAAACAAAACCATCTCCAGACCAAAACTATTGAGGGACAGAATGTCCCAGGCTAGGAGCCACTTGGCTGGGTCTAAAACAGCACATACTGTCATCTAGTCGGGGAGAGTTCTCAAATGTTCTGCATTTGTTTCAGGACAAGGAGTCAGACATTCAGACTTCAGCAGGGAAACACAAGGTAGACCCACATCCCACCCACCAGTGGGGGCGTGGTCAGATGCAGAGGGAAAACCATAGCCTAAGGCATAGACTTGGAGACATCACAACACACGAACCATTCCTTCCAGCAGGAATGGGCAAATGGATTATAGGCTAGGATTAGAGCTGTCATGACCAGGCCCTGAGACAGTTAATCCAGTGACATTCTGGGAGTAGTGGTCAATCTCCTTCTCCAGACGGCCCCCCTCTAGGTCCACCGAGAGCACTGCTGTCACAGCTTGCCCCAAGCAGCCTACCTCCAAGGTCAAGAACACCCTGGAACACCAACTTAATCCTCTCAAAGGTGATTAGCTAGGAGACTATGCAGGGAGCGTGGCTTACAAATCCTTATCCTTGGGTCCCACCCACAGAGATTCAAGTTGATGGGCCCTGGGGTGAGCCCCAGGCATCTTGTTTCAACTTCCCAGGCAATGAGAATACACTCCCGTGATTGAAATCCCCACCAAGACTTGTAAATACCATTCATTGGGTCTTCTGCCCCTTAAGATGCAGGTTCACCTTTGAGACGCACTTTTCCAGACTCAGGTGAGCATTTCTGAGAACATCTCATTGCAATACTGAAGAATCCCAGTATCTTATCTCAAAAGGGAAAGGAGTGAGCTACCTGGAACAGGATTTGGAATACAGAGACTTTTTTTTAACAAAGTTTTCAATGCACATGGGACAATCTAAGGTCAACCTGTAGTCCCTGGTCATATCTTCAACCCCAGGAAAAAGGGAAAATTTCTACCTGTGGCTTCAACAGTCAATGGTAGTAGCTTGAGGGAAAGCAAATCTTTGGACCTCTAATAACTGAACTTCATTTGCGACCTCTTAGTGACTTTAACTGAAATTCACATAACCTACTCAAATCATTTATTTTATTTATTTGAAAGGCAGAGTTACAGAGACAGAGATCTTCCATTGGCTGGTTCACTCCCCAAACAGCTGCAATGGCCGGGGCTGGGCCAGGCCAAAGTCAGGAGACTAGTGCAACATCCGGGTCTCCTACGTGGATGGTAGGGGCTCAAGGACATGGACCATCTTCCACTTCTCTCCCAGGCACATTGGCAGGGAGCTGGGCAGGAAGTGGAGCAGCCAGGACTGCTCCAGCACCCAAACACACTACATCAGCTTCCAGAGAGAACTTAAGGGCATTTACTATGTTCACAACATCCTACAACTACTTCTATATAATTACAGTATAAATCCCCATTAACTTGTTACCCTCACTCTGTCCATCAACAATGAATAAGCAAACCTTGTCCATCCATTCCCCAGGATTCGTCCAACCACAGAAAGGCATGAAGTGCTGGAGACACATGCAGCCATGATGAATAAACTTGAAGCAGCATGCTCAGGACACCAGAGGCCACGTGTGCAGTAGGGATTCCATTCACATGAAGTAGTCAGTCAGCAGGAAGCAAATTTCACACTGGTTTCCCACACTATCAGAGGACAAAAATACAGCTTCTAAATTGTTGCCTGGTGTCTGATTTGCCTCTGATCGAATACCTGAGGAACATATTCCCTAGGATGCTTGGAAAGGAAGCTCAGGACTGTCGCAGAATGAATGCGGCAGTGGGATGGAAAGAGAGCCGAGGGCAAGAATGGCAAGAAAAGCTGCTGGGGGGCCGGTGTCGTGGGATAAGCCACCAGCTGTGATGCTGCATCCCCTATCAGAGCGCTGGTTCTGATCAGGCACCCTGCTAGTAATGCACCTGGCAGAACAGCAGTGACTATGTGGGCCCCTGCCACCTGGAGACCCAGATGGAGCTCCAGGCTGCTGGCTTCAGCCTGGCCCAGCCACAGCCATTGCAGCCATTTGGGGAGTGAACCAGCAGATGGAAGATCTCTCTCTCTCTCTCTCTCTCTCTCTCTGTCACTCTGCCTATCCAATAAATCATTTATGTCTGATAAAGATATTTTCCTCAGAAACCTTTTTCTTTTTAAGATTTAATTTATTTATTTGAAAGGCAGAGTTACAAAGAGGCAGAGGCAGAGAGAGAGAGGTCTTCCATTTGTTGGTTCACTCCCCTGATGGCAGCAATGGCAAGAGCTGCACCAGTCTGAAGCCAGGAGCTTCTTCTGGGTCTCCCACGTGGGAGCAGGGGCTCAAGCACTTGGGCCATCTTCTACTGCTTTCCCAGGCCATAGCAGAGCTGGGTCAGAAGTGGAGCAGTTGGGAATTGAACCAGTGCTCATACAGGTTGCCGGCGCTGCAGGCAGCGGCTTTACCAGCTATGCCATAGTGCCACCTCCCCCCCAAACCTTTCATTTAAGGAATACAAACTTAGGAATATAGTGATTCTTCCCACTGTACCCACCCTCCCACCTACACGCTCACCCCTTTTCCTCCTCCTCCTCTCCCATTACCATTCTTATTTTTTACTAAGATCTATTTCCAGTTGATTTTATACATGTTATCACAGATCAAGGAGAACATAATGGTATTTGTCCTTTTGGGACTGGCTTATTTCACTAAGCATGATGTTTTCCAGTTTCATCCATTTTATTGCAAATGACAGGATTCATTTTTTTCCACTGTATAGTATTCCATGGTATATATATCCTATTTCTTTATCCAGTCTTCAGTTGATGGGCATTTGGGTTGATTCCATATATTCCATATATTCTATGTATTACCTATTATAAATTGAGCTGGAAAGTTTTTTTTTTAAATAAACTAAAAAAAAAAAGCTGGCTACCTCCATGCACCTGCAGAGGCCACTGGCCTCTGTGCCCAGGATCAGAGGTGTGAGTGGTGTGAATTCACTGGGGTTGCCAGTTTACCACCAACACCAGGTCTTTAGTGGAACCTGCAGTAAACTCAACAAGGCTTCAGATCCCATGCTGGGTTCCATGGGTCCACATCTCACAAGGGCACCCCTGCCTGAATCAGTATATAAACTGACAGGTGACACTTTGCTTGTATTTCTGCTGGAGGAGATGCACTATTCCAGCAACCAATGACTTCCTTCAGCCTAGACAAGATCTGCTCCGCCAGAAGGAACGAAGAAAAGGACCACCCACTGCAGAAATGCTGGCAGCCAGGCTGGACTGAGGGGTCCACTGTAGTCATTCCTGTAGCATGGACTAAGGTATCTTCCATAATTATCCTTTAAATGTGGGTTAAAGAGTCTACTGTATTATTTTTTTTTTATTTATTTATTTGACAGATAAACAGAGAGAAAGGTCTTCCTTTCCATTGGTTCACCTCCCAAATGGCCGCTATGTCCGGCGCTGCGCCAATCTGAAGCCAGGAGCCAGGTGCTTCCTCCTGGTCTCCCATGCGAGTGCAGGGCCCAAGCACTTGGGCCATCCTCCACTGCCTTCCCAGGCCACAGCAAAGAGCTGGACTGGAAGAGGAGCAACCGGATTAGAACCCGGCGCCCATATGGGATGCCAGCGCCGCAGGCGGAGGATTAACCAAGAGAGCCACAGCGCCGGCCCCTACCGTATTATTCTTATAATCTGGTCAGATAAGAAATAGGATCTGCTCTCCAAACTAAACTGTGAACGAGTACTGAAAGTCACACCACTCTTCATTAACATGTTCATCTGCCATGTGCTGATTAAACAAATATTAAGTTTTGTTGGCTTTCTCTTCCTTAAAATGAGACCATGCTAAGTGGATTAAATAAATTAAATTAAAATATGCTGGTGCTGAGAATCATGCCAGGCTCACTGGGGCCACTAAAGAAAATAAGAATCGCCTGAAGTCCTGATGGTTAACACTCCCAGGCCTCCTCACTGAGGGTCAACACCTGGGAGCTTTGGGTATAAAATCTCCAAGCCTCACCTGCTGAATCCGAGGCACTGCCGGAGGGAGGTGTTCCTGCCATGTGAGTTTAGAAACAACTGCTCCAGGTGAGTCTGCAGGCCCCCACCTTGGAGACCCGCTCCACTCAGCTGGGTGCAGACCCCGACACTGCATTCCACAAGGACCCAGGAGATGCCAGCGGGGCCAGGTTTGTGGGCTACACTTTGAGAGTCTGTGCTCAGTTAATGCAGACTGAACCCAGCCTACCTGGAAACTTCAAAAAAATGTGTGTGTGAGCGGGGGAGGAATTAAATCTCTTTCGGAGCCAAATATTTTGAAAGCCAATCATAATCTTTTCAAAGTATGTCTTCTCCGAGACCTTCTGGGAGCCTCCTTCCTTCTGGAAGGTTCCGCGTAGGTTAGTTCCTCTTCGTGACTGTGCCAGAAAGTGATCTGAGTACGAACCATAGCTCAACTTCTAAATTTTTATTCCCCCCCCCCCCAAGCTTGCAACAGTGGTGGGAGACAGGGGATTGTACTATCACCATGTATAAAATGGGCTTTGTGTGAGGTGACCGTGCCCAGCTGTAGGAAAGGGTTCCATAAACAGGAGAGGCAGCTGAGCCGAGTGAGTGTTGGCCATCTTGGGTGTGTCAGATACATCGTCCACGGGTGATGTTTTCAAGTGAGCAAAGGTTTAATCCAGGTGTGATCTCACTGGAAATGAAAAAAATCTGCACTTTAGACAAAACTGGGTGAAATCGGGGGGGCGGGGGGGGCTTTGTGGAGGATTCAGCGACAAGACTGGCAGATGGGGAAGACAGAGGTGGAGGAGGTGGGACTAAGGACTAAGGGCGGGGCTGACAGGACGGGGATCTATTTAAATGCGGGTGTGATGTTTGCCAGTCCTCATCTCTGGAGCAGAACACGGGAACGGGTCGAAGTACAAAGATGTCCGGCTCAGAGGACTTCCTTCAAGGTAAGTCTCGGGGCTGAGGTGAGGGCTGGGGAAAGATGCTGCACTCGGGACAGACGCTGCATCGCCCGCATCCTCCCTGCCTCTGTAAGCCACATGGATGTTTGCTGGCCCTGTAACTGTGTCCTCAGTGTCACCACTGATGTTCTCCGGGCAGCCACGGGGGCTCCTCTCCACCAGGAGGATCAGTCACAGAACACTAGGTCCTCAGCAGTCTGGAAATGGAACGAAAAGATCTGTTTAATTCAGGAAACAAATGTTGAATTCCACATCTATACCAGGTCTTCATCCAGACTCAGGATGGAAAATGCGTATTGCAAAACAGCCATGTGGATTTCAAATCATTTTTTGCACCAAAATGGACTTTTCCCATTTCCACAAACTACTTAAAGTCCTCCAATTCCAAGATCTCATCCTTTTTTTTTTTTTTTTTTTTTTTTTTAAGATTCATTTATTTTTTGAAAGGCTGAGTTAGAGAGAGACAGGGAGGCACAGAGAGTTCTTCCCATTCACTGGTTCATTCCCCAAATGGCCCTATTGGCCAGGGCTGGGCCAAGCCAAAGCCAGGAGGGATCATGTCTTATTTTGCGTCCTGTCCTTTTGGCTATTTTCTCAAAGATGTCCCAAGATTTCCCTTAACTCAGCCCAATATCTGTCATTTGCATCATCTACTTTGTATAACTTTTTAGGTGTTTACTCTAATGGGGTCAGAAGCTGAACTCCCCCATGTATTTCTAACAGCCTTACGGTGGACGTAAACTATACATGTGGTCCAGGGCAGGCCTAAGTCGCTGCCCATGTCCCATAGCGGAGTGCCTGGCTGCAGCCACACCACTGCTCCGCTTCCGATCCACCTTCCTGCTCATGCACACCTGGGAGGCAGCCGACAATGGCCCAAGTGCTTGGGTCCCTGCCACCCACATGAGAGACCCAAATGGAGTTCCTGGCTCCTGTTTGTAGTACTCAAAAAGCTGGTTTCTGAGCCAGGATTTGAGAGCCTCTGTCCCCCGTCACACTGTCTACCTGGCTTACTCCCTCACCTCTTCCAGGCTGGCCCGAGAGACTCAAGGGTTAAGAGCCAATCTCCCAGGGCCAGCGCTGTGGTGATGTGGCATAATGGGTTCCCTTCCAGCCCTGGCTGCTCCACTTCCCATCCAGCTCCCTGCTACTGCACCTGGGGAAGCAGCAAGAGATGGCCCAAGTGCTTGGGCCCTTGCACCCATGTGGGAAACCCGGCCCGGAGGAAGCTCCTGGTTCCTGTCTCTGGCCTGGCCCAGCCCCGCCCCGACCATTGCAGCCATTTTTTAAGATTTATTTATTCGAAAGTCAGAATTACACAGAGAGGGGAGAGAGAGAAAGAGTTTTCCAATCACTGGTTCACTCCCCAATTGGCTGCAGAGGCTGGAGCTGCGCCAATTCGAAGCCAAGAGTTTCCTCCAGGTCTCCTACGTAGGTGTTGAGGCCCAAGGACTTGAGCCATCTTCTAATGCTTTCCCAAGCCATAGCAGAGAGCTGGATGGGAAATGGAGCAGCTGGGTCTCAAATTGGTGCCCATTTGGGATGCCGGCACTGCAGGTGGCAGCTTTACCCACTATGCCACAGTGCCAGCCCCCAAATAAAGTCAGAATCTTTCATTTTTCCCACATTTTTTTCTCTATACAGCTACTTAATGTTATCTGCTTTGTGTGTCTTCTGACATCTTAGTTTCTGCATGCGCCTTCACTAAAATGTGATACGACATTTATCATATATAATATATATGTATGATAGCAGTGCCTTTATTTTCATTTCCTTGTTATATTCCTAAAAAAAAAAAAAAAAACTTGTATTCCATAGAAACTGATTGAATGATAAAGTTAAAGCTGTGTCTAGTTCAACTTGGGTTGAGTTGCCTATTTTCTATGAAAAAGAAAAAACAGAAGAGGTGTTGGCATTGTGGCCAGCGGGTTAAGCTGCTGCCTGCAGTACCGGCATCCCACGTATATGACCCAGATGGAATTCTTGGCTTCTGGTTTTGGCCTGGCCCAGCCCTGGCCATTCTGTGTGTGTGGTGTACGTGTCTCTCTGTTTTTCTGTAACTCTGCCTTTCAAATAAAAATAGCATTCAAGCATTGAGGCACAGGAACCAAGGGGAACCGGAACTCGGCTTTCCTATGGTGGGTGCTCCCAGTAGTGACAGAAAGACAAAGCTTTGGAGAAGGAGCGGAACAGGCACTGAGTCAGCAGCCGAGAGCCTCCAGCCAGGCCTGAACCTCTGAGCAGGATGGGGAGCCCAGGGCAGCTTCCCGATGGAACTGATACCACTTCCCATCCATATTTTTCTCTCTTTGCCAGGCAAATATAACAAGACATCACAGAGGAAAAGAACCGTATTCACTGATGAACAGCTTGAAGACTTGAACATCTTGTTCAGTAAGAACCCGTACCCAGACCGTGACCTTCAGGTAGAAGTAGCCTCCAAAATGAACATAGACCCCACGGTGGTGCAGGTAGGAAAGTGACCCCCACCATGCCAAGCTCCCTCCCTGGGCCCAGAGACCTGAGGGTTGTCCCCCAGGCCCAGCCTGCGGCCCCACACCCTGTAATACCCTCCAACAGCCCCTGGAGCACGGACGGGGAAGCTTTGGAAAGGATCAACAGAACGAAAAGATAAGTTTACTGGGACTGGCATTGCAGTGCAGGTCAAGCCACTGCCTGCCACATCGCCATCCATGAGCACCAGTTCAAGTCCTGGCTGCTCCATTTCCAATCTCCAGCTCCCTGCTAATGTCCCTCTCTAATACTGCCTTTCAAATCAAATTTTTTTTAAAAATCATGGATATTATAAACATTTTAAAAGGTAAATTTATTTTGGAATCCATGAATTTTTTTTTTTTTTTGAAGACTAATTTATTTGAAAGTCAGAGAGAGAGGAGAGATTTTCCATCCACTGGTCACTCAAATGGTTGCAATGGCCATGGTTAGGCCAGACGAAACCCAGAGCCAGTAGTTTCATCCAGGTCTCCCCCATGTGTGGCAGGGGCCCAAGCATTTGGGCCATCTTCCTCTGGCTTTCCTAGGCCATTAACAGGGAGTTGGATCGGAAGTAAAGCAGTTAGGACAGGAACGGGCACCCATATGGGGTGCTAGCATCACAGGTGGCAGCTTTTACCTGCTCTGTCTACTGCTCCCTGAAGTCTTTTCTTTTTTCTTCTTAAGATTTATTTTATTGGGGCCGGCGCTGTGGAGTAGCGGGTAAAGCTGCTGCCTGCAGTGCTAGCATCCCATATGGATGCTGGTTCAAGTGCCGGCTGCTCCACTTTTAATCCAGCTCTCTGCTGTGGCCTGGGAAAGCAGTGGGAGATGGCCCAAGTCATTAGGCCCCTGCCATCCATGTAGGAGACTTGGAAGAAGCTCCTGGCTCCTGGCTTCGGATTGGCACAGCTCCAGCCATTAGCGGCCAACCAGGGAGTGAATCAGCGAATGGAAGACCTCTCTCTCTCTCTATCTCTCTCTCTCTCTCTCTGCCTCTCCTTCTCTCTGTGTAACTCTTGACTTTCAAGTAAATAAATCTTTAAAAAAAATCTTATAAATAAATAAACATATAAATAGAAAAGATAGATACTAAATAGATAAATAAATCTTTTTTTTAAAAAATTTATTTATTTGAGAGACAGAAAAGGAGAGAAAGAGGAGAAAGAGAGTCTTCCATCTGCTTGTCTACTTCCCAAATGGCCCAGTCCCAGTCACTGTGTCCAGGCCAAAAGCAGGAGCCAGGAGCTTCCTCCAGGTCTCCCACATGGATGGCAGGGGCCTAACGACTTGGGCCACCTTCCACTGCTTTCCCAGGCACATTAGCAGGGAGCTGGATTGAATGAAAGTAGAACAGCTGGGACTCGAACCAGCGCCCATGTGGGATACTAATGTTGGCAGGCAGCAGCTGCCACAGTGCTAGCTCCTGAAATTTTGTTCGATTAGCTGTTTCCTGTGATCCTTTTGAAGACCCCACACCCTTTAAGCTTTGTGGCTTGTGCTGTCTGCCATGGCTGTGTCTAGCACGGGGCAGCCATGATACGTAAGATGAGGGGCACATCTGGATGCACATTTGAAGCTGACGCAGTTTCCAGAGTCACACAGTATGCTGCGTTTTGTTCTGAACCATGTACGAAGGTGAAATCCATTCTTAGCTCATGCCTGCCTCTGGCCCCACAAAACCAGGTGGAACAGCCGAGCTGGCGCAGGTGGACACCGCTGCTGACGTTCTCATTTCTGCTCCTTCCTGGGAGGGCGCTGGGAGGGGTCCACAACTGGATGGAGGTGGCAGAGAGGCCGGGTTAGCCGTCCTCACCTGGACGTTCCCACCTCACTCTGGCTGTTCTCTTCTCCCCTCAGGTCTGGTTCAAGAACCACAGAGCAAAACTCAAGAGAGCAAAATCCACTCAAGTTCCACCCCCGCAGGAAGCTCAGCACCAGACACCCCTGGAGGACCCAGTCACAGCCCGACTCCTTCCAGGCGCCAGTGGAAGCACCAGCCAGATACCCTGAAGACGCCTACCCCCAGGGCCTCACTTACCCGCACCTCAGCATCTACCCCAGGCTCAAAGTCCCCAGGAACCCCTCTGGAGGACACCAAATCATCCACTTCGGCTGCTGCGAAGACACCACCATATACAACCTCTACCCGCTCTGGAACCCCACAGTGCAGCCAGGACCCGGCTCTGCCGCTGCCTCTTTCTTTGCACAAAACAGACAGAACCAGAACGATTTCCAGACACAGAAATAACTTCCAGCCATAAAGAACAAACAACGATATGGTGGCTGGGTTTCAAAAACACCCCGGGGCCAGTGCTGGGGCTCAGTGTGTTAAAGCCCTGGCTTGCTCCAGTTCCAGTCCTGGCTGCTCCACTTCCATCCAACTCCCTGCTAATACACCTGGGAAGGCAGCAGAGGACGGCCCAAATCCTGAGGCCCCACATCCATGTGGAGACCTGGAGGAGGCACCTGATTCCTGGCTTCAGCCTGGCCCAGTCCCAGTCATTGTGTCCAATTGGGAAGTAGACCAGCAGATGGAAGACTCTCTCTCCTTTTCTCTTTCAAATAAATAAAATGAATCTTTAAAAAAAAAAAAAAAAAAGGCACCTGCGCAGGCCTGCCACAGCAGTGTCCTTGATCCTGCCCGCATCCCAGAGTCCTTTAGATCTGTACGCCCCAGGCCACTGGTCTTCAAACGCCCTGAGCCATCCCTAAGGATCACCTACCCTCCCACCCGGACAGGCAAAGAGCTCTGTTTCCGAACTGTGCTGAGCTAGTTGGATTCACACACTTGTACAATTCTGCACATAAACAGATAGCTCTGTCTCCTAGTCTACTCTTCACTGGAATCCAGTAAGAAGGGACTTCAGAAAGAGAGGATTAGGAGAAATTCGGAGCTGGGAGTTTGGCTTGGTGGTGAGGCCTGGGTTAGAAGGCCTGTGACTCCTGTCAGCATCTGGGTTCCAGTCCCAGCTCCACTGCTGACTCCTGCTCATGCACACCGTGGGAGGCAGCAGGGGATGGCTCGGGTGCTGGGGTCCCTGTCACCTTGTGGGAGACATGGATGGAGCTCCTGGCTCCTGCCCTGGGGCTGTGGTGGGCAGGGAGCCAAGGTCAGAGCACTCACTCGCTCTCTGCCTTTCAAATTAAAGACTTGGAGGGGCTATGGCACAGCAGGTTAAGCCACCACCTGCAACACCAGCATCCCATATGAGTGCTGGTTCATGTTCCCGCTGCCCCACTTCCAATCCAGCTCCCAAGGAAGATGGCCCAAGTGCAAGCTCCTGCCACCCACCTGGGAGACCCAGCTGAATCTCTGGGCTCCTGGCTTCAAGCTCGGCCACTGTGGCCATCTCGGGAGTGAACTATCAGATGGAAGATGTGTCTGTCTCTCCTTTTCTGTGACTGCTTAAAAAAAAAAAAAAATGAGGGGCCGGCTCTGTGGCATAGCAGATTAAGTCGCTACCTGCAGTGCCTGCATCCTATATAGGCACCGGTTCTAGTCCCGGCTGCTCCACTTCCGATCCAGCTCTCTGCTATGGCCTGGGATAGCAGCAGAAGATGGCCCAAGTGCTTGGGCCCCTGCACCTGTGTGGGAGACCTGGAAGAAGCTCCTGGCTCCTGGCTTCTGATCAGTACAGCTCTGGCCGTTGCAGCCAATTGGGGAGTAAACCAGTGGATGGAAGACCTCTCTCTGTCTCTACCTCTCTCTATGTGTAACTTTGACCTTCAAATAAATCTGTAAAAAATAAGAAAATAGTATAATGAAGCTCTACCTACCTGTCATTGTTATTGCGTGATTATCAGAATTGTAGGAAGTCAATTTCGTCATCTTCACATCTGAAGTCAATCACCAGGCGCAGCATTTCGATTCTACATATTCCAGTATGTTCCTTTAAAATGAAAGAATCATTTTTTTAATACCAGCAAGGTCATTGACACGAAGGTGGCTCAGGCGCGGGTGACTCCTCTGCGTCATGTAGCATCCAGACCACGTGCAGGTTTCCCTGATGGCTCCCCAGGTTCTGCATCAGCCCTTCAGCCTCCATGCTCGGCAGCTGGCTGGCAGGGCCTGCATTTCTCGCCGCACTTTCTCAGCTGTGTTCCGTTTCTGCAACAGCCCACTTTCGGGCCTGGCCTCACCTCCCAGAGCTAGCATGTCACATCTTCCCCACCATGTTTCTTCTGCAAGGCTGAGCTGTTGTGCAGTGAACCTGCTCCCCCGAATCACAAGGGGGCCCCTACTCTCTGAGACCCACCGCTAGGAACTCTGATTTAACTGGCTGTGGACGTGGCCTGGCATGGGCACACTTGAAACATCAGCACGTGAGTACAACACGCACCGGACAGGAGAGCTGTGGAGCCTCCAGCCGCCAGTAACCATGAACGAGTTAACTCCAATCTAATTAAAAATAGAAAACAATGCTGGGCTTGTGGCTCACAATGCACGTATGTGACCAGGTGTTGCTGCACTGGACAGCATGGGCGTGGAAGTTTCCCATCACACCAGAAGTTTCTATTGGGCTAAGGGTCCATCAGATTGGAAGCCAAATTTCCTGGTGTGCTCAAGTCAGCCTTCTGTATCCTCCCCTCATCTGCAGATTCAACCAACCACAAGTTAAAAATATGAAAAAGGGGCTGGCATTGTGGCAAAGCAGGTAAAGCCACCACCCAGGTCACGGGCATCCCATATGGGCCGAGCACTTGGGTCATCTGCTGCTGCTTTTCCCAGGCCATGAGCAGGGAGCTGGACTGGAAGTAGAGCAGCCAGGACACAAACCAGTGCCCATATGGGATGCCGGTGTCGCAGGCAGTGGCTTTACCCGCACAGTGCCAGCCCCCCACCCCCAACCCAAGTTGCAGATTAGCAAGTGCCCAGGAAGACGAAGGCCAGAACTTACCTAATCTGGTGGGCATGGGGGGCGCTGTGCCCAACAGGGTTCTTCAATGCACAGACTGAGAGGATGGGAACTGGGAGAGAATTCTGGCCAGGGCAGGACCAGGGCCAGGGTGGGACAAGTCTCGCCCTCGGTAAAACAAGGTGGCACGGCCACAATCCCCCAAATGCCTTCCCGCTCACCTGCTCCTTCTGCAACGAAGCTGTGCAGTGGACTTTGTGAAGAGCAAGTCTCACGATGAGCAGACTGGGGAGTCGGGGCGGGGGGCGGGTGCAGGACCCAGTGTTGCAACGAATGCCAGGCCCTCCATGCAGTGGGGCTGCGGATGGAGCTGACAGCAAGGCAAACAGCGGCTGGCCGCTGAGGTCTGAGGTGACAAACGGGGTAAGCGCCTTTGATATGCTGTCGGCATACAAATCCAGGAATTTCAAAGGGTTTTTAAGTTTGTGTTTTTAAAGATTTATTTATCCATTTGAAAAGCAGAGAGGAGAGAGGGATATCTCTGGCTAGGACGCTCCCCAAAAGACTACAATGGCCAGGGCTGAGCCAAGGAGCCTGGAACCCCACTGGGACTCTCACTGAGGCGGCAGGGGCCCAGCACTGGGCGTCTTCTGCTGCTTTCTCAGGTGCATTAGCATTAGTAGCAGGGGGCTTGTGTGGAAATGCTGCAGCCGGGCCTGGGACCAGCACTCACAGGATGCTGGCCTTGGCTTAGCCTGCTGTGTCTCAAGGGAGTTGAAAGGAAGATAAACTCCCTTGTTAGCAGCAGAGTAAAGGAGGGCGCTAACTACTTTCTAATCGGGTGCTCCGGTCAACAATGGAACAATTACTTGATGACCATTTGAATGGAAGGAACCACAGCCACGCTGGCACTCAGCATCTGAGCCAGAGGGCCTGGGCCTCGGGCAGCAGCGTGGGGCTGTCCCAGTGTCCAGGAGTCGGCCCCCGGATCCACACAGGCAGCACACACACACACACACACACACACCCGCAGTATCGTACACAACTTGCACACGGGGCAGTGGGTTCAGCACCCCCTGCACTAGCCGCATCTCATACAGGTTCCAGTCCCGGCTGCTCCACTTCCTATCCAGCTCTCTGCTATGGCCTGGGAAAGCAGAAGATGCCCCGAGCGCTTGGGCCCCTGCACCCACGTGGGAGACCCGGAAGAAGCTCCTGGCTCCTGGCTTCAGCCTGGCCCAGTCCCCGCCTTTGTAGTCATTCTCTGTATCTCTCGTTCTCTGTCAGATAAATAAATGAATCTTTAAAAAAAAATCTGCAACTTGGCACCGACAAGAGGCTGAAAATATTTTAAGAGCTTTCCAATAATGAGTCCTGTGTACCACATTAGACTGAGTGAGGGGCTCGGGGACACCCAGATGAGGAAGGCAGAGAAGAGTGGGGGCGGGGGGGGGGGGGCAGAGGGAGTGTCTGGGCCTGGGAGTTTATCTGCACACAGAACCAAGGTCAAGGCTAAAGCAGCCAGAAAGGCACTCAGTCAACGTAGGTGAGCAGGAAGAGGGAGAGGTATGGTGAGGACCAGACCGTGAGCCTGAGGCTGGGGAACTCTGCCAGCACCCGGCCCACGGGGATGGGATCACTGGAGACTGCGAAGCCAGACTGGCCTCCTGCCTCCTCCCAAACTGTGGACTGCAGCCCCCTCCGCCTCCCTCTCCTCCCAGCATGAATGGGGATCGGGAATTCCAGCAGCCAGTGTTACGATAATCCCCTCCCACAGAAGAGGGAGGAGACCTTCACAAACTCCCCCAGCTCTGCCTTCATCAATCTTGCAGCCCCAGGGGTCGCTCAGTGCACTTGCCACAGCCCCACCGCCTGGAGACATCAATTCAGCTAAGGACACGCCCCCTGCTCACCCTCCCCAACCCCAGAGAGGCCCAAACACCACAGCTGCGCTGGCCCTGCCCTCCCCACCCTGGCTCTGCCCCTCCTGCTCCCCTCCCAGGGGCTGTTAACACCACAATGCCTTAAGCTTGTTATCTAGGAGAAGGGAACCTTGCTTGTTTAGGCTTCCAAGAAGCTCTTACCCTACCTTTGGACCTGACCCACAAAGCAGCAGTTATCAGCAGAGGGCCTTGGGCCCCAAGCTTTCCGGGCACAGGTCCCGGCCTTCGGCCTTCGGCCTTCGGAGCCAGCTCACGTCTGCTCTCAAGGCTTCCAGCTCAGCCACCCAGAAACATACCCTCCCCTCCAACGGGGTCCCACTCCCCAGTCCTAAATCCCTCCACGTTCCAGAGTAGGCTGTGTAGACGCCCCAGCGACAGAGCGACAAGCCTGCCTCACGACGTGGCGTGAGGGGCAAGAAGAGTGGATGGGCAGTTGGAAAAGGCTCCTGCGGGAACAAGGAACCTGACACCAGTTGATTGGTCGCTGCCCCAAGAAAACAGACAGGCTCAGAGTTAGGGAGCACAGGAGGAACTAGGCGCTGGCCCAGGTGCTTAGCAAGGGGTCAGCTCGGCGCCACCTGCCCTCACTGGTCAGGGCTCCTGACCCCTCCACTGTCACAGCCCATCTCCCAGGTGGCCCACACAGTAATGCCGGTTACCCGGTCAGGACCACGACATAGCACAAGAGACGGGGGGCGGGGGCAGACCGCAGATGTATGGACATGATCGATGGGCACGCCCTGCATAAGCTCCCCACACCCAGACCTGCATGGACCCCTCCCGTGGGGATCCCTCCTGGGAAGCAGGAGACTCTGGTTCTCAGTACAATCCACGTCCCGTCATAGCAGGGTGGGGTACTGCTCCCGCCGCGGGGAATTGTGGGGCGTCTCAGTTGCACAAGAACCCAGGCACATTTCAGACAGGGCCTAAGGAACGGCGCAGGAAAAGCGGGGCAGCTCCAATGACCGGGGGAACCCCACTGCCTCTTATCTACCGGATCACAAGCGTGGGGACAACGCTGGAATGAGTGAAGATGCTGGCAGCCGTCGCCATTCAGCCAAGGGGGCGTGTTTGGGGTGCAGGGGATCCCCCCAGGATGAGACCTTAGGGAACAGGAAGATGTCACCTCTCAGCACACTCTGGCTGAACTGGAGCAGGTTCACAGGAGGAGCTGGGGTCCAGGAGTGGCTCAGAGCATTTACATCCATAAGGGAAATCGAGGCACCGACACCGCAGGGCGGCAGGCTGGGCCGCCACTGGGGCGCCCACACCCCTCATCACAGGGCCCAGCTATGGCCTGGGAGAGCCGTGGAGGACGGCCCAAGTGCTTGGGCCCCTGCACCCAGATGGAGTTCCAGGCTCCTGGCTTCAGCCTGGCCCCATCCTGGCTGCTGCAGCCATCTGGGGAGTGAACCAGGGGATGGAAGCTCGCTCGCGCGCTCTCTCTCCTCTCTCTCTCACCTCTCAAATAAATAAAAACAAATCTTTGAGAAGACTAAACTCTTTCCTTCCTGACCCGGGTGAAGAACCAGGCCTGGCCGATGCTGCCATGGCACCGAGGCGGGAAGCTCTGGGGTGCTTTAGGGGGAAGTCCCGGATGTCGTGGAGTTTTCCGTGGATCCCTGGATTGCCTGGAACCTCACTCCCACCTGCCGGCCCCACAGTTCCCAGACTCACAAGGATGAGAAGCACCTGTTAATGCCCAGGGGAGGCCACTGGAGAGAGGGAGGCTGGCTCCCAGCGCCGGGCCTGCCTTTAACCCGGATGTACTCAACAGAGGTCAACGGCTCTCGGCCTTCAGATCCTAGGAGAGCAGGGGGAGCCTAGGAGACGCAGAGGCAGAGGTGACTCGGCCGCACGGAAGAGGGCCTGGGTGAGCCAGGGCAGGCGGAGGGCGGGGGCCAGGCTCCATGAGCCAGAGGCCGCATCCCGGGGTGCTGGGGACCTCAGCCCCTCACCTTGGTCTGGACTAGGAAAGGGGTCACTGTGCCGAGGAGAAGTGGAACTGAACTTGTGAGCTTATCTTGGGGCACTTTGGAAATCCAAGCCATTGTTCTGGCGTTCTCCATGCTCTAGGGCATAAAAACAATC